ACCGGTTAACACTGTAAGTGTGAGAAAAATATTATTTTTCAAGACTCTGAAAATTCATAACTTCTTCACCGTTTATTGGATTTTGTCGTTCTTTATATCAAAATGAAGCTAATAATATGTTCTATAACTTGGTGAAAAGAAATATTATTTTTAGCCAACTTTTATCCGATTTTACCGATTAATCGAGATTAATTATTTTAAGTAGTGAGGCTTAAATATTTAGAGCGTTCGGTTGCCGTTTGGCATAATTGTTGTGAATGCATATGGATTGTATGTGATAATATGAGATGAATGCATGAGAACATATTGTGAATATGTGTGCATTGCTTGATAAATGTGGTCTTTTGACAAATATATGCATTGTTTAAATTGATTAAAAATGCATGATGATTTATGATGAGGTTCGTTGGCGTTCGGCACGATATTGTGAATAATGCATGAGAACATATTGTGAATATGTGTGCATTGCTTGAAAAATGTAGTTGTGGTATTGGATTGTGAATGCATATTGATTGTATGCAATATTGTGAATAATGCATGGGAACATATTGTGAATATGTATGCATTGCTTGATAATTGTGATGATGTTGAAAGTATGAATACTTTGATATGATGTGTGAGTGTGCAACCGTGATATAATTCTTGTGTGATGAATTATTTGACTATGCATGAGATTAAGATGCGAGAACGGTCTTAAGTGCATATGGTTGTTGATTGCATACGCATCATTTAGTCAAGAGGCAATGCTTGCTAGTCTCGTGGAGACTAGTGACTTGTCCCAAACCTAGATGGGTGGGTTTGAAAGCTTAGGGAATTGGCTTTTGTTGTTATCGGTCTAGGGAACGGACCCGGTTTAAATGTAAAAACCGAAAAATAATAACAAGTGTTGGTACCACATGGCATTGAGTTGCATTGAGTCACATGACATATATCATTATTATATGAAAGTATGCTTGTGTGTGAATTGTTGAATTGAGAACTTTGGATATATGCACGATAAATATGCTTGGTGTTATATATATATATATATATATATATATATATATATATATATATATATATATATATATATATATATATATATATATATATATATATATATATATATATATATATATATATATATATATATATATATATATATATATATATATATATATATATATATATATATATATATATATATATATATATGTGTGTGTGTGTGTGTGTGTGTGTGTGTGTGTGTGTGTGTGTGTGTGTGTGTGTGTGTGTGTGTGTGTGTGTGTGTGTGTGTGTGTGTGTGTGTGTGTGTGTGTGTGTGTGTGTGTGTGTGTGTGTGTGTGTGTGTGTGTGTGTGTGTGTGTGTGTGTGTGTGTGTGTGTGTGTGTGTGTGTGTGTGTGTGTGTGTGTGTGTGTGTGTGTGTGTGTGTGTGTGTGTGTGTGTGTGTGTGTGTGTGTGTGTGTGTGTGTGTGTGTGTGTGTGTGTGTGTGTGTGTGTGTGTGTGTGTGTGTGTGTGTGTGTGTGTGTGTGTGTGTGTGTGTGTGTGTGTGTGTGTGTGTGTGTGTGTGTGTGTGTGTGTGTGTGTGTGTGTGTGTGTGTGTGTGTGTGTGTGTGTGTGTGTGTGTGTGTGTGTGTGTGTGTGTGTGTGTGTGTGTGTGTGTGTGTGTGTGTGTGTGTGTGTGTGTGTGTGTGTGTGTGTGTGTGTGTGTGTGTGTGTGTGTGTGTGTGTGTGTGTGTGTGTGTGTGTGTGTGTGTGTGTGTGTGTGTGTGTGTGTGTGTGTGTGTGTGTGTGTGTGTGTGTGTGTGTGTGTGTGTGTGTGTGTGTGTGTGTGTGTGTGTGTGTGTGTGTGTGTGTGTGTGTGTGTGTGTGTGTGTGTGTGTGTGTGTGTGTGTGTGTGTGTGTGTGTGTGTGTGTGTGTGTGTGTGTGTGTGTGTGTGTGTGTGTGTGCGTGTGTGCGTGTGTGTGTGTGTGTGTGTGTGTGTGTGTGTGTGTGTGTGTGTGTGTGTGTGTGTGTGTGTGTGTGTGTGTGTGTACTTTATGATGAATTGTGATGAATAAAAATAATTGTAAATGTTTATGTGCAATAATGTGAATTGTGAATGATATTGACTGAGGAATTAATGAATAAACATGATTGTATATGTTTATATGAATTATGGTGAATTAAACATAATGTGTATGTTTAGGTGAATTGATTGAAATTGTGGATGTATGTATGAGGAAATATGCTTGGTGATTATCCATATATTTGTATATACATTGTGACGTATATGGATGACTTGTGGTGAGAATGTTGATTATGTTTATTCTAAGATTGTGGATATATATAACTATTTGCATTGATTATTATGATAATATTTCTCACCATTCTGCTGGAATGATGTCTTATCTGGCATTGTGCAGGTATCAAGAGTATAGCTGCTTGTAGTTGCGTGGTCGCTGTTGGTGTAGCTATTTAGTGATTTAATTATATTGGGTCGAGTCATGCTCTGGTCATGTAACACTGGGATCGTTTGTGTTATATTTTAGAGATACATTATGTACTTTATGATATGTTTTTATATTCATTGGAATATTGTGATGTTGGCCTTAGTGCCTAAGAAATGTTGAATTATATGATGAGCATGGTTATTCTATTAAGAGAATTATGATATAAATTGAATTCGCTGCTACATGCAGAATGAAACTTTGAAAAGCATGATTATTTATTGAAGTGTTAATGAGCATGACAGGTGGTTTTTGATGTTTGAAAGTCATGTGTGACGCCCTTTTGTAAATGCATGATTATTTACTCTGATTATTCATATATTTTCCGTGGGGTTTAGAAGGGTGTTACAACAAATGGTAATGCCTAAGTCTCCAATGGTCGAGCTGTATACACCAAATTGCTAGAACTGATCGTTAACCCTACTCGGGTAAAACAAGTTGAACAAACCTGTGTTCCCTTTTGGCCCAAACTACGTTTGCTCTGATCTTTCATACCAGATGAAAGTACGTAGGCACAAGACACGATGTCTTGGCGAGCAACCTTCCCCCCTTTTCACCCGTAGTTAGCCGAACTACGTTGACTCTGACTTCTCACTTCAGATGAGATGCGTAGGCACAAAGTGCCATTGCTTTGCCGAGTCACTTCTTTTTCTTTCGTCCTCAAGCCTGTAGTTAGATAGTTTCAATCACCCTTTTTGATAGACAACAAGCGTGGATCCCGTCGAGTACGACGAACGTGAGGGGTGCTAACACCTTCCCCTTGCGTAATCGACTTCCGAACCCGAGATTTGATTGCGATGACCAATCTTATCCCTCTTTTCGTTAGGTTTTCTCTGAGCGTTTCCTTTCCCTCTCTTGGGATAAATAACGCACGGTGGCAACTCTTCTATCATTGTCGTCCTCGATTTTCGCAGTAGCGACATATAGTCCTACACACTTGAACAAACATTAGTACACTCAATTGTTTTTTAAATATTTTTTTATAATCAAAACCAAAGAGATATGATACAAACCAATTTCATTCCAACATTGAGAAACAAGTGTGAGAAAGTCTCACATTGATTAGAAAAGTGGAGATTGAGCACTTTATAAATGAGATGATTCGCACACCTTCCACCTTAAAGTTTTGGATGAATATGTGGTGTGTCTCACAAAGATGTGTTATTATAAAGAAAAACCTCAATGAATGGAAAATGCTCTTTCATGTTAACCCCAATTTAATAACCCAACAACAATGAATGTGACCCATATTTTTACCATGACTCGTCAAACTAGGAAATATGTCACATGAAAAAAAGTTATTAAAGTTCATATTAAAGCCTCATTCATAGTGAAATTATCATTTTCTTGAAATATCATACATTCTTTCTCTAATCCACACGCTCTTGATCTGATCAATTAGGGTTGTAATTTGTTAGACTCAAAGATCATAAATAAAAAACAAACAATTTGACACAAGAGAACTTATAAGGGATGAGAATACTAAGCCAACGAAAATGAGGTGTGAATTAATTTAAATTTTAAATTTCTTACTCTCTTTATCCCAAATTATAAGTTACTTTGTCAAAAAAAAATTTCTAAATTATAAATCATTTTACAATTTCAATGTAATATTAATGATATTTTTTCGAACCTACTCTATCATTTAAAATTATTTTTTCTTCCAATATTTTTAAGATTCTCTTTTATTTATAATAAATAAAAGACAATATATATAATTTCTTTTTTCCTACAAAACGATTTATAATTTGGATAGGAAGAAATAGATATTATGACTTTTTAAGAGTCAATCATTCTATGTATATATTTGAAACATAGACATCTTATATATACCTTACATTATAAATATCTTGTGACGCAGGGAAAACAATAAATCCATAGATTCCTTTATAATGAGGTTTAAGTCCTTTTTTTCCAAGAGATGTTCTTCCTACATCCCAATGACAAGTTCTTGAAAAAATTCTTTTAAATAACTTTTCTTTTCTAGGACTCTCGGTTCCTAAGTAAAGTTGGTTAGAAATAGCACTATTTTTTAATATTGCTCCTGATATTATTTTTTAAACAAGTTTATGTTAATTATTTTATTGACTACATAACTAAAATATATTTTTCACTTGATTAGTAATAATTTATGTGATTAAAAAGAGTTACTCTTTCTTAAGGACTAATAAGTGGTTTAAGGAAATTAGGTAACAGATAACTATAACAAAACTCTGCGCAGCACATTTAGAATACAATGAAGCTAATGGGAAACAGCAAAATCACACTACAGTTGGTGTAATAGTTAGTATGTCCTTGTTTGCATGCCACTTTGTGGGCACAGTTGAATTTATCTTCTCTGCATGTGCTTGCACCACTCTCAGCACAAAGAAATTCTAAAGATGTCATATAGAAAAAATCTATATCATTATCATGTTACATGGGACAGCACAAAACGCGCTTTTGTAATCTCGTTGGATAATCTGATTCCTATAAATACCTATCTCAAGTATAGGGAAACTCAGTTGTGGGATTTGAACATTCTTAACGATGGCAACTTCGAAAGTTTTGAGTATTGTTTTCTTTGTGTTGTTGTGTTTAGGAGTATGCTCTGCTGCTAGAACACTCATTAGCATTGGTTTGGGTCATGAAATTAGTGGAGGTTTCCATGGTGACATTGGTGTGAGCGGTGGTGAAGGTGGAGTACATGCTGGTGTAGATGGTCATGGAGGAGGAGGAGGAGGAGCCGGTGGTAGTGAAAATGGAGGAGATGTTGTTGCTGGTGGTGGTGGAGGTGGAAGTGGCGGTGGTGGTGGTGCAGTTGAAGGTGGTGGGTATGGTGGAGGTGCTGGCAAAGGAAGTGGGGAAGGTGCAGCACATGGTGGTGGTTATGCAGGTGGTGGAGGAAGTGGTAGTGGTGGTGGAGGTGGTGGTGCGACTGAAGGGGGTGGATATGGTGGAGGAGCAGGAAAAGGAGGTGGGGAAGGAATTGGTGGAGGTGCAACACATGGTGGTGGTTATGCTGGTGGTGGAGGAGGTGGTAGTGGTGGAGGCGGAGGTGGGGGTGCAGCTGAAGGTGGTGGATATGGTGGAGGAGCTGGCAAAGGAGGCGGGGAAGGATTTGGTGGAGGTGCAGCACAAGGTGGCGGTTATGCTGGTGGTGGAGGAGGTGGAAGTGGTGGAGGTGGAGGTGGTGGTGCAGGAGGTGCTGGTGGTGGTTATGGAGGAGGGGAAGGAGGCGGAGCAGGGGGTGGATCAGGTGGAGAACATGGAGGAGGATACGGAGGTGGAGGTGGAAGTGGAGGTGGCGGAGGAGGGGGTGCTGGTGGGGCACATGGTGGCGGATATGGTGGTGGAGAAGGAGCAGGTGGTGGATATGGGGGTGGAGCAGCAGGTGGTGGTGGGGCAGGTGGTGGCTCTGGTGGGGGAGGAGGTGGTGGAGGTGCACATGGTGGAGGATATGGTGGTGGTGCCGGTGGTGGCGAAGGTGGTGGCCACGGTGGATATTATCCTTGAGGCTTGAGCTTACAAGAAAATTTATTATTCTGAAAGAATCCCTTGCTAGTTTAAACTATAATAGTAACAAAAATATGATATAATTATGATGATTATAAACTACTACTAAAATTTATCATTATATGTACTTGAAATGTGAAATGAAACAAGAATATTTACGTTTATTTCATAAAAACTCTTGAATTTCAATTAGCTTACTTATTTTTTTAAAGAATTGAATTAACTATTTTATCTTATATTGCTAATTTATTTGCTTGTTACTTTATGCCAAACATAACCATAATGCTGCCAATCAGAGATATCTACGTGAGTTTAACATGAACAAGAATCTATTAGTAACAATTCAAAAATATGTTGCATTGAGAATCACATTGATTATCGATGCTTTATTTAGGCTAAAATTATCCAGCATGGAGCTAAATTATTAGAGAAATTGGAATAAAAATTTAGGTTAAACATTACTAAAAAAACATTGAAAAAATGATTTTACATTGGATATTCATTCGAAGCGATACAAAATGTAAAATTATAAACACATTGGCAGTATCGTAAATAATAGAAAATTTTTTATTAGACCTTTTACATCAGGCCAATTATTCCACCAATATAAAAAAGGTAGGGTTTGTAAATTATAAACACGGTAGCAGTATTGTAAATAATTGAAAAAATTATTAAATGAGATTTTACATCGGTTATGAGATCCACCGATTTAAAAAGTTTACAAAATAAATTAATAAATGGGTTTTTAAATCGATTATGTTTCCAACCGATTTAAAAAGTAATATTAAAAAAAATTAAAAAATGGGATTTTAAATCGGTTTTGGTTCCAACCGATTTAAAAAGTAATATTAAAAAAAATTAAAAAATGAATTTTAAATCGGGTATGTTTTCCACCGATTTAAAAAGGTTGTGCATTATGATATTAAATCGGTTTCAAATTCAACCGATTTAAAAAACCCCTAAACCCAAAATAAAGTTTCTTTCACCAAGGAACCTGCACATTCCAAGCATTCCTTTCAAACCCTAAAATCATTTCTCCCTCCACCCGCGACGTCTGTTTCTCCCTCCGACCGTTCGCCATTCCTCCCTCCGACCGTGCGTCGTCCTTCCTCCACCCCACGACCCATGTCTGTTCCTCCCTCCGACCGTTCGCAGTTCCTCCCTCCGACCGTGCGCCGTCCTCCCTCCGCCCCACGACCCATGACGAAACCTCCCTCCTCCGTCATTTCCTCACCGATTCCGTCACCTCCTCCGTTTCGTTTTCCTGCTGTGCATAAACATTGTGCTAAGACTTGGTTCAAGATTAAGGGTAACAAGTAAGTGAGTTTTTTTATAGTGATTTATGGTTGTTTGTTTTTTTGAGATTGATTCTCTTTTGGTGGTGAATTTGTGAGATTGATGAATGCTAGTGCTGTACAATGTATTTTAGTATATGTTTGTTTTCACGTTTGGAGCATCTAGAATTTGATTTTGGATGTGCATAATAACTTGGAGTGGATATGATATTAATAAAACTTGCTTTTGTACAAAGTCAAAGGATGATCGTAGTACCACACAAAATAGTGGGGTTATGATTGTGGCCAAGTCCATGCACTTCTCTAGTGCTAAAGATGAAAACCCGGTTACGGCATCTACACCATACTTTGGGGTGATTGAATAGATTTGGGAAGTTGATTATGTTGTGTTTAAAGTTCTTGTATTTAAACGCAAATGGATTGATATCAACAGTGGTGTAAGAATCGATGAATTCGGAGTTACATCGGTTGATCTTAGCAAGTTAGCTTATGCGGACGAACCTTTCATCATGGCGTCTCAAGAAAAACAAGTGTTTTATGTCACATATCCTTCTAATAAAAGGTGGTCAGTGGTTATACAAGGAAAGGTGCATGATAGTGATGAAAATCAAGATGCGAACCTTGATATTTCTGAAACTCCTCTTTTCTTAACGAATGTGCCTACCTTCGTTGAAGAAAACGAAGAGGAAGATGTGCACGCTATTCGCATAGATCATGAAGAAGGGATATGGGAGGACTAGTAAGGTTATTTTATACGTTAATTTGACATTACTTTAATTTCTATTTTATTTATTTATTTTGTGTTTAATTTGATGTCTAATTGTTCATATTTTGTGCTTAATTTGATTTCTAATTGTTTTTATTTTGTGTTAACAGATACATGCCTGATTCAACCGACAATCCTTCTTCATTCAGTGACCCTAAAAAAAGAAGAGTTAGAGGTCCCACTTTGATGACACAAATTAACAAAGTTCATAAAACGGGTGAAAAGATAAAGGTCAACTTTCATCCAATAACCAATGGATGTATGGGTAAAAATGCTTCAAATTTTAGGAGTTACATAACGTCTCTTGCTCGACAGAGATGTAGTATTTTGAAAAATGAGTGGAAACACCAAGATGAAGGCATTAAAGAGGCTATTTGGACTAATGTTCAGGTATTTTTAACTGCTACACTTTATTATATTTTATAATCATATACTAACAACATATGCCATATATTACATGTGTAGGCTCATTTCACTATTCCAGAGCCTCATAATCCAACAAAGGATCTGTTGAAGAAATAATGGATTGAATATGCAGGAGAGCGATGAAGAGCTTTTAAGACACAACTTACAAGCGACTATATTAGAAAGCCCAAAGAAGGTCTATCTCCTCCACATATCAGGTATAATTATATTAAAGAAGAAGTATGAAAGGATTTTGTGCAGTCTCGAGATACCCCTGAATTTAAGGTTAATAGGAGTTATAATTTTTGTATGCATAACATTTTTATTATGTTTAGTATGATTAATAACTTTTTGAGTTTATAATAGGAAAAAAAAGTCAAAAGGGTGCAGCAAATGTGGCTAAGAATGTATACCCACATGTATTATCTCGTGGAGGGTATCGTTTCCTTGAGGAGAAAATGATAAATGAAAGGAGATCATCGAGAGATGATTCTACCTTAGATGATATTGGTAGCCCATCTCCACCGTCACACCATGAGTTATGGAAGAGAGCATGATAAAAGAAAGGGGGAGAATACACATCAAAGGCTACACAAGTTGTTCCTGAGAAAATTGTAAGTAAAAAAAATGGTTTTTTCATTTTGTAGGATTCTCTAGTTATAGTTGTGATTGATAAAAAAAAATATGATTTTTTCATTTTGTAGGTGTTAGGGTAGAAATAGGATATCAAACTATTAATTAGCTGGAATCACAATTCCTAATTCACAACCGCTCTTTGATTTATCCGAAGGAAAAGGTCAAAAGAGGGAAAACCTATTTTTGCATCGTAAACGCAATGCGGGGAGAGACCTAGGTAAGGGGTTGGTTAAGTTTAGGTAAGGTACTAGCACCCCTAAACTTCTGTAGTACTCTACAGGAACCTTTTATTTATTGTATGCTTCTTTATTTTATTATCTGTTTTAATATATACTGAGCTAAGGGCTAGTCCTAAGTTTACTCGGCAAGATGTCGCATCTTGTGCCTATGTATCCTGGATAGGGAATGGAATCAGAGTAATCGTAGTTCCCCTCGAAAGGGAGGTTAGAAACGTCTTGACTGTGGTCAAGGTTTCGATGGGGAAGTAAACGTATCTTAAGGATAAGCTTACGTGGAGTTTTGAAACTCCTATTTCTACGTTGAATTGTTGATTGAAAATTAGGGTTAAATTAGGGTTGACTAAATGTTCCAGGGCGGGAAATCCTAAAACAGAATACGGCGACTCTTTGACCTAATGCTAGGGTAAAGGGAATTTTTGTCCACGGCGGGACACCTGGGCTATTAGGGTTTGAAATAGTCTAAGGTTAGGACTATTCACTCGGCGGTCAAACGGTTAGACCTAATTCCTTCGGAGGGTACATAACCATAAATCATGCAAACAGACAAAATAATGTACGACATAATTAAAGTGCGGAAATTAAGAAAACGGTAAACGAATCGCAACGATCACTCGTGTAAATTACAAATCCCCAAAACAAATGCGAAAATAAAAATAACTGCGATCATGGCCTCACATAAATTACATCCATGAAACAAAACAAATTGAATAAATGAAACGACAATAAGCTAAAACAAACAAACTAATGGGAGTTAGATGAAACTGAAACGGCTAAATCAAGAACTTTTATTTTTCGAATTTTATTTTAAAGGGAAAAAAATAATCTCTACGTTTAGGAGAAATTAATTTTTTAGTGTTTTTATTTACAGATTTATTTAATTAAGGAAATATTTTTAATTTTTAAGATTTTTAATGAAAAAGAGTTGTTTTAATTTTATTTTAATGAAAAAAAGTTTGGATTTTTATTTTAACAAAATTAGTTTTAATAAAAGCATTTAAGTTTTGTTTTGAAATTTTGATTTGATTTTTAAAAAAAAAAAGGTTTAATTTTTAAAAGTTTTAATTAAGTGAACAAAAGTTTTATAAAAACAGTTTTAATTAAGTGAAAAGATTTAATTTTAGAAAATACCTTAATTAATTAAACAAAGTTACCAATTTTACTTTGTTTTTGAAAAAAGAAAAATTATTAACTTAAGTACTAATTTTTTTAGAAGTTTCTAACAGTAACGGTGCTAATAAGCTCTATGCCAAATAGTACCAGTAATAATAAAATACATAATAATAAAAAAATGGAAAAAAAGAAGAAAAAAAACAAGATAAAAACAGGAAAGGGTTTTCGTGAAACATTCTAGGGCTTTCTCCTTGAGAAACCCACTTCTTCTTCCTCTTAGATACCGCGGGCGGCGACTTTCTCCGACTCCTTTCCTTTTCGTTTCCGGCGGCTTGCATGTTCTCTTCGTCTTCTCCGAGCTTCTTTGTCCCTGAAAAAACGAAAAAAACGTAAAAACAACCCGAGTTGCTTACCTCTTCGGGGTTTGAAGCGACTCGCGGCGGCTTTGATGGTGCTTTCGTCCGCGACTTTGATCTTCGACAGTGTTTACGGCCGATGATGGAAGTCCTGAGGCCTTTGGGAATTCGTTGTCCGCGGGACGACGTCGGC